AATATCCGTCAAAAAACGTTCAAAACAGACATCATAATAAATAAAAGAATTTATTTCTGATTTATGAATCTGATTTCTAAGGCAAGGGTCAACACAATTTCTTCAATCTCCGTACGATTATGAAGACGCCCATTTCTTATAGATTTTATGCATAGTCTGTGCATGTTTGTCTATTGTTCCTCTTTTAAGAGGGATGGGTGGTTGTGGCCATTTTGGATTATTTTTTATCTTCTTTACAAAAAGAGCTCCTTATAAAGATATACAAAAATGATCAAATTCTAAAACTAAAATGTATGAAGTTTTTTTTTCTTTTTCCTAAATGATAGCTTACAGCTTAAGATATCTTAAAATTATCATTACTAATTTGTTAACCTTAACAGTACATGTAGTTGTATGTGTTGTGTTAAAAGATGATTAATGGACAAACATGAGATCATGGATTGAAAAAGAAAAATTGCTTCTCTTTACACCCACTCTGGTTGTAACCAAGGTCTGAGACACCTTGAATATTTTAAATCTCTTCGTGATATCTTTTCTTACGTAACTTTGTGAATACTTAACTGGAACGTGACTTGTATATAGCATGGTTTGAGCTAACACGGACACTGTACTCGAACAAATATGGACAGATACATATTGTTAAATTTAACGTTTAAACCTTTCTTAATAAAATATAATAAAATACAGACAGTTGGAAAATATTTATCCCGTTTTTAATGCATGTCATTGACATTCAGTCTAATTTTAGACCCATTCGTAAGATGTTATCTCCACCCCTCATACATTCTTACCCCCGGTTATGTTTAACCAAGGGCAGATACATGTAAGTGTAAATTTTCTGTAGTTTGGAAAACAGTAAGGACAAAAAGCATAGAATTAATTTATTGTATTACAGTTTAAATTATTTCTAACATTTATATTTGTTGCCAAATCGACAGACTTCTGTAGTAAATATGCAAAAGTGAAATTGGGTTAAGATTTAAAATCAACAGAAGCGACAGAAAAAGATCCGAACCACAGCGTTGAGTACAGTCGTCCTTTAATTTATGTGTACCCTATGTAAGGAACACATCAAATCTATACTTATAACTCAATAAATTTTGCAAATAAACTTCAAAACTGTTGTACCAATATTCTTACTAAATCCCCAGGAAAAAACTAGGTATAGGGTGATGTCCGTAAACTATATCAAGATATCACTCGTAAAGTAATAATCGTTAATTTAACTAAATGTCTACATCCAAACTCGAAATAGCAAAAAAAGAGAGTGTTAATACTTCTGGTTGGCGGATCTAAGTTACTGGTATGTTTAATAAATAGTGTTTCATTATTTCATAAAACATCACAAATAAATAATTCAATCAAAACTTGATTAAAGTAATATATAAAAAAATAACTGTGATACTGTAAATGTATTACATTTGGCGATATATTCCATATAATGTCAAGGAGCACCTGTTAGTATATAATGTATAACAAAGAACGACAGATATCAAAATAAAGCTGCTTTATAACATGTGACGAAAAAAACGCAATTTTTAATTTAAAAAATAAGGGGACGATTATATGTATAATCATCTATTTACTAAACTATTTATGGGATTTTGAAGTATTTCTTCATGCTATAAGCCTATATGATAAACTGTCAATAGGAAGATGAAATACACTTTTTGGAATAGTTGAGTCCGCAGTTATTTATTTTAATCAATTTCCCACGTGCATGCGCGAAATTTCATCTAGTTATATTTAAAAGAGCACGTTTGCTATCATCATTCCCAATACAATGCAAGGTCTGTCGAAAGGTCTGTCAAAATGTCGAGGATCAATAATAACCTTTAAAATTAAATGAACTATTACACTTATTTTTTGTTGTTGTTGCTTTAGACAGACATCTTATTATCATTACAACGATAATATTGCCTTCCCACAAATTTTTATTAAAATAAAAAATTTGGTGATAACACAAAATTTTCTATTTCAATAAAAAAAATTGTAGGAAGACAATATGCATTAAAAATACAAAATGACATTGTACATGTCTGGTGTCTGTTTTTTATTACACATGTATGCATGTAAGACATATAATAATAATGATTACATGGAAAATACACAGATGGTAATCTTACATAACCATACGTGTTTTAGGAATTTTTTTTTTAACAAAAACATATAGTATCCACAACTTTAAAAGAAAAAAAATCCTCAAAGAGAAATCTAAAATATCACAAAAATTATGCAAAAGGTATACAAAAAATGTTAAGTAGTGTTTAATTTCAGATAAATATTAAATTAAAGTTAAACACTTATTGTTCAGAGAGGTATAGACACACTTCTGCTGATCTGCAAACCCCCTTAAGGGGGCCGACTTGGGTTTTATTGTGTGAAAACTGCAATTATTATAGTGAAACTCTTCATTTTTATACCATATATAACTTACATTAACTCCAGCGTACATGTCAAGTTTGAGGTAAATCTACCGCCCAGGTATTTTTAAGGGACCGTCTCAAAATACAGTTACATTTACTAGAGGGTGATATAGGAAAGTGCCACTTTTCAGCACTTTCAAGCATATTATACAAATACTACGATAGACTTTTCGTTAAAACTATAATAAATAATGAGTAATTCTATATTGTATATTATATGCAAGAAATACACAATTCTACCTTCTTGTTACCAGAGGGGGCATCTCAAAATGCAAAAAATTAACTATTTTTTTCTTGTTTTTTTAGAGTACTGCAAAATATAATAGGCACAAGAGATTTATATGAAAAACATAATAAAATATTGGAGATATTCTTAAACTTCTATGTTTTAAATTTCAAGAAGGCTATGTTCATTACTTTTTCTTTAATAACATTATTATTACCCATTTTTTAAGAGCTTCAGTTTATCATAACGTCAAAAACACACTATAACGACGTCAACCTACCTATCAACTGCAAAATCGGTTAAAACATCAGTTATGAAAAAATTGTAATTACATTTTGAAACCTGTTATTTCTTAAGTTTGTTTAATTTTATTAATCAAGTGAAAAAAGTTGCTTTAAAACAGTAAGTATGCTTTATTTTACTATGATGCACGAAATATTGCGCAAAGAAAAACAAAGTCGCCCCCTTTAAGTATTCGCCTCCTCCCTTTCTCATTACATTCTATGCAGTTCAGTTTCTTGGGATATTTCAAGTCAGTTTTTGAAAAAAAAATATGCTTTGCTCATTTTGAAGAATTGTAATGATAAATGACAACTCTATGAATTGTACGTCTGAATATTTCTGTCTGAGTTACCTTGTACCTGGTGACAGGTAGAAGATTCAGGTAGAAATCAATGATTATTCACCAAGATATATATAAAGGACAAACTGCTTTCCTAGATGCTATTTAGCTCGTCGTTTTCCCCATAACGATACAGATTAATTAAATACATATAGACGCTGAAATAAATCCGATTAAATGTAACGTCTCCATGGATGCTGATACTGCGACCCTAGATAACAAATGAAATGGAGAATACCACATTCAATAATACAACCTTCACCTCAGAAGTGATTTACAAGATACAATATCTCCGGATTATCTGTTTTATTGTTACTTTAGAAAATGTGTTAGCCCTTGTCATTTTGATTCGTTCACGGAATCTACATTATCAAATCCGGACCCTTTCCATTTCTTTGGCCTGGACTGATTTTTTGGTTGGAGTCCTTATTATTGTTCCTACAGACAGCAACACAAATCTTTGCAGGATTCATCATGCTACTATACTGAGTACATTGACGACGTCATTTTTTACCATCAGTGCAATCTCTACAAATCTTAGTATTTCGTTGTTGTTTCCCATGCGATTTCAGAGTTTAACAAGTCCCCGATTATACCGAATCGTCTGTATTTCGTTGTGGATTATAAGTTTTGTTTTCGGGTTCTCACATTTAGTTGACAAAGGATTGACTCTGGAATGCTACAAACCTATGTTATACAAAACTACAGCACTTAAAATACAAACTTTTATTTCAAGTTTCTTGTTACTTTGGAATATCATTTCATATATGTACATTTATCTTGTTCTTCGTAAAAAATCAAAACAAACTAGACCAGAAGGTATCTCCGAGGAATCCGATGAAAGACAAAAGAAGGAGATAGTCCAACGAACAGTGAAACTAATGGTTTTCGTTATTGTTTTTATCGTCTGCTATGCACCACATGTGCTCTTGAATATTCTTCTTCTCATCCTTGAGGGAAAAGCGTTAGAAAGAGTAAGACAGTATCGGTATCTCGATAACCAATTTATTGTTCTGAACAGTATGATCAATCCATTCCTGTTTGTATTTCGTTTCCGAGAATGTCAAATCCAAACATTATCTTTACTTTGCTTTTTTAACAAGAAATTAGTTGGAAAAAAGATTGCACAATTACAAGCACAAATTGAAAAATAATGTGGCGTACCGAACAAATGTGAATAAACTTCAATGGAGCAAATTCTTTAGTTAGAAAAAACTGTAACGCTACATGTCGTTCTTAACAGCACAGTATTGAATAAAAGAACTTTTTTCAAATCATCAAGTGGATAAAGTTTTGAAAATAAGCTGTTTTTCATGAAATAGTTATTAACAGACATATTTTTGTATATGGATTCGAATCCACTACGAGACTTCCTATGGGACCTATAAAACAAAGGTCCCATTTTGCAGTAGGCAGCCAAAAGCTTCCTCACTGCTCAATGCCCCTATGTGTCGAGTATAGGCCAGAAATTACAGTCTTGGGAAAGTGGTGGCGTCTCCATATGAGTGAAAATTCTCAAGAGGGAAGGGAAAAAATATTATCAACATTGAACATATAGATTTTTGGCTCTCAGTTGATTGGATTCACGACTGTTTGCGTTGGCCTCAGGGTGTGCATGTGTGCATGTTACATTAGGGCTTATATATGTACAGAACAGAAAGAAAAAATATCCTACATAATACGAAAGTGTAAAAAAAAAAAAAAAACGCACACACACATTTGATTGTTGTAAAAATATTTATTTAAAAAGTCAAACGTCTGATATATTTGAATACTAAAGTGTCCTGAGCTAATCACTTCACACTGGAGTACCCTGGACGAATTTTCTGGAATGTGAACTTAAATCCATCCTATGATATAAGAAGTATATGTAAATATAAGTATACAGCGCAAAGAGGACTGAAAATCTTTCGGCAGAGATGAATTGATAGTGTTTAAACATTTCAGCTCTATTTACGAGAGAGAGAGAGGGAGAGAGAGGATGGCGATACCTTGATAAGTCCAGGAACTGATGACCAGAAGGTAACATTTGGAATAGCCTCTTTTCCTCGACTTTTGCGTACACCCATTGTGAAAACGGTTCCTGCTACCAGATATACCACAACCAAAGCTAATACTCTACCAAAAGAGGTCAGATTTGTTAGGAAAAACACAAAATTTCACAACCTTCGTATGTTTCAGATAAATCTGAGGAACTTTTCATTGCTGTTTCTTGGTATGAAGCAAATATTTTAAGGTAAGCTATATTTGTTCTGTCAGCAAATTTTCATAAGCGATTTCTTTTAGGTATTTTCCGCCTCATAGCTTTTACATAGTTCAAAGGGGAAAATGCATTTATTTCCATTTATTATGTTTTCAATTTCAATGTTTTTCAGTATGCCTATTGGAAAATTTTCTTCCAAATGGTATTTTTCTTTTGAGTATGAATTTATATTTTTAATAACAGCCTTTGCAAAAACCAATGACGTCACAAGAGAATAAAATACCCCAACAATACCTTAACAATGATATTTTATTTCAAATTTAGTATATCATTGAAAATGTACTGACATAATTAACATGATTAACAAAGAAATTAATTCAAAATCATGGTGGAAATACTTACGCTATACACAAAATAGTCCCTACGCTGATACCTGATTCATCGTTTGACCCGGATGTATTTGGTTTAGGGTTAGGCGTTGGGCCTGTCGGACTTGGAGGAGGTCCTCCACCACAACCATTGGGGCAGGCGCATTTAGTAGTCAATGAAAATGCCTGTCAATTATAATCAAATTATTAATCAGACAAAGGATTCCTCGAATATCATTTTCAGTCTCGTAACTTGTCAATTACATTAAGAGTTATCATTGTCTTAAATATTTACAAAACAATGTGAAAGTTATTGAAATAAGTCCCAATTCAGAATAAACACGATAGTCACCAATGGTCATTATATTCTTGATAAGGATATAATAAAATAGCGCTTATACGTGTAATCGTCCTAATAGAACGATTATTTGAAAATAAAAACTGAACAATCTCATATAATACATTGTTGTCATTGAAATGTCCCCTACTATTTCATCTTATCATCAACAGGAACAGGGGACTCGAACTAATTTATGTGATTAATAATCTTTCTGTTGTCTTCCTGAATTGTTGAAGATTTTTTGGGATATGCCGGTATTGCTTTCTCTACTCGAGGCTCCTTATATCTTTTTAATAATTTCTCGAAGTAAAAGTTCGTACGACAAACAATTTCATAAAACAAAAATATCAACAGTTTCGTTAAAAGTCATCATTTCGCAAGTTCTTCGGTAGATACACATTACCCTATCAGCAAATACTCGTACAATATTTAGCATTAAGTCAAATGCTGACTGACTTTTTCATACCAATTGTTAGACCTTTATTAGCACACCAAGTTGTAGACAGATTTTCCCGTTATTTCCTGATCAATACAAGGAGCACACGGCGGGTGTGACCGGTCGGAAGGGAATTCTTACTTCCTCATGGCACCTGATCCCATCTCTGGTGTTTAAGAAGTCTGTGTTTGCTCTACTTCTAATTTGTTTTGATTGAATGGAAGTTTGATTGATTGATTGATTGTATATTGTTTAATGTCCCTTTCGAGAATTTTTTACGCATATGGAGACGCAACCACTTACTGGTGGAGAGCTGCAAACTTTGTCCTATACTTGGCATCAAGGGCCATTGAGCAGGGAGGGATCTTTTTCGTGCCAGCACCTACTGCGACACGGGGCCTCGGTTTATAGGGTCTCATCCGAAGGACCGGTCTCCACGTCCCACAGTGGGATTTGAACCCGCGACGTAAGGATTGACTCCTTACATGGCGACTCTAGAGCAGACGCTCTAACCACTGCGCCACGTGGGCGACGAATGGAAGTTTGAGCTTGATTACTGTTCGTTATATATTTTTCAACATGACAAAATGGCTTTCAAAACATCATTTTTTTTATACCAATTTGTTTGGATTTTCAGTAATATCAGGAACGGAATTGATTATTGTACGATTGACAGCGTGCGTGGTAAGGCAACAATTTCATTCAAATAACACCTGCCCTCGAGAGGAAAGGACGTTTTAAGTTTTAAGAACGTGTGTCCAATCCTTTTCTATTGTAACATCTAAACAATAAGACATGTTCAAATCAACACCTGCTCTTAATTAAAATCGATGGAAAGGAGTTGAAATAAAAAAAAATATAATTTTGTTTCGTTGTGTTCCTGGATACTTTCTTCATATTAATAGAACTGGTTGTGATATAAGGGAGGATGAAAATGTTTCATAAGCATGCCCCACGTAATCAATAACGTATAGTTTGACACTTTGTCTTGAGATATACTTAGTAATTATGAAATCTTTGATGTTGATACGAATAGTTAATGCTAAATGTAGTTCTGTCTTTCTCTTGTGAATTTTCAAAAGAATTCAGCTTTTTCAAAGCTCTGTATTACTAACTCTTCGAGCCACATGTATTCTGTAGCAAGTTAAATTGGAGATATATACCGTATATGCTGTAATAAACGGATGATATTATTGGATGAAATATGCATTTGAGCTCAAAAGTCCATTAAACATTACAAAACAGGAACAGAGCAAACACGGACCTCCAAAACATCAGAGGTGGGATCAGGTGCCATGGAAAAGTGAGCATTCCTGCCAATCGGTAACATCCGCCGTGTGCTCCTTGTCGTGATGGGGATAGCGGAGAAAATTCGTGGACAACTCAGTGTGTAAATATTCATCGTTTTACTAACAGTGTAACAGTTTGCCTCATTAGGCGTGCTGAAATTTCGTATGCTGATCATCATTTTGCTCATCGATTCGATGTTAGATTTCAATGAAATCAATACTCATTTGCATATGAAACACAGAAGCTAGCAATACCACTGGCAATATTGACCAATCGTATTGAATGATTGTTCACTTGTATTCAGTAAACAACAAATGGACAGACAAAGCAAGTTTTACATCCCATAATGATGATAGTGATAGCTACATAGTATAACAGTAGCAGAGTAGCCTTACTAATTCCATTCTTTAAATTTTCTTATGAGTATCTAATTCCCTATCCGGTTATGCGTCACCGGACAAATAAAATACGTTTTTTGAGGACAGAAAACGGGCTTTGACTGACCACGTGTTGCTGCTGTCTGCAAATTAGTGTCGCTCTGGTAAACAATCATTCAATGTGATTGGCCAGTATTATCGGGTTATTGTATTCTGAGTTTCATTGCCTGACGTCACGGCGTCAGGCAGTATAAGGATTGATATTTCCAAGATCCGAAAATGTGCGACCATATCTAAAGAGCTAGATTTTGTGCGAGCTGATTTACATTGGAATTCTTTACCTGCATTTTAAAAGAAACAGTTTTCAGAAAAAAGAAAGATATTACTTATGCGAAATACTGCAGTATTTACTTCCTTTAATCTTTTTGCATGGAACAGATTATTCCATATTATTTGCCGTTTCAACATGTCCGTGTATCCTTTTTTCTGCATTTCTATACTACTGGATCAGTCCATATACCACAACCAAAGCTAATACTCTACCTTCTAATACTTCAGAAATTCTATCTACAAGTTTTATACCATTCTTTAAAACAACATATCGTATACATCAGTATACATGGTATATGGACATGTAACACTGAACAAATGTTTCTAATTTGTTTACCGATCCCGCGGTTGGTTTATTCCATATATGGACGAGTCCAATAATAATAAACAATGCAGTTCAAGCCATCGTCTCCAGATGCATGATCTATTATATGTCTTTGTTCAGATGCACAAGATAAATAAAAAAGTAGTGAATAATCTTGGACATTTCTTTCTACAAAGCCTAACTATTGAATTTATTTATTTCATTCTCAATATATCATGTATTATATGATAGTGTCATCACCCTTCCCTTTTAAGAAAAAAAAAATAATGAACACATATTACTACTGTTGACTTCAGAGGAGAAAATACACTCCAACAAAATGTGTTTTTAATTATATCCATCTTTTAAAATGTTCACAATGCGTGATTTGATAACAGATTTTATAACAGGTGTTACAATGTAGCTTAAAATCAATTTAGATCCAAGGGCAGATCACTCCACTTGCAGACCCCCCCCCCCCCTTCAACTACAAAGTTCTTTAGTATGCAGTGTAGAGATGATTCATCTACAAGTTCAGTAAAATCAAGATTTCAATTATATAAGGTTCTCAAAATATAAAGTTAGGATATTTTTTAAACCCACAAAGTATTGCTCAAAAGGGTTATCATTCTTCATGCAGATAAATTGATTGATTTAGTCAGACAAGCTTTTTAAAAAGCTGTTACTTGTATGCAAATTAGTATTGATTTCATTGAAGTCAAACATCGGAATCAGAAATGAAAGTCACGGGTATTTCGGATACTATGACCTTAAAAACGTAGAGCCCGTGTCAAGGTAGGCGCTGGCACGATAAAGAACCCTCACTGCTCAATGGCCCTAAGTGCCGAGTATAGGTCTAAATTCGAAGCCCTTCACCGGCATACGGTGACGTCTCCATATGAGTGAAAAATTCTCGAGAGGGGCGTTAAACAATATACAACCAATCAATCAATCAATCAATCCAATCTATGAGTAAAATGATTATAAGCACGCCCCATCAAGCAAACTGTCACACTGATAGTAAATGATAATAATGGCCTAGCTAACAATGGATTTATTGTTTGCAGTCCCCGGATCCTGAAATGATTCATAACTGTTAAAGAAAGCATCTTATTGTTTTTATAAGTAAATACATACGTAGTTCAAAGAGCTGACTTCACCCATAGGCGCAAAATTTGCAGGCTGTCCCGATTGGTCACAAATCAAGGTGACGTCAACGTTCCTGTCAAAACCCATAAATTTAAAATAATTGAAAATAAATAGGCCTATGTGACAAATCTATATGATAACTCACAAACGTAAAATAACATTTCACTTACAGAAAATCTGGGAGCAAATGAAAAATATTGTCAAAATAAATAATTTAAGGGAAAATGTTGCACATTTTGCTGACCCTTCGAACAATATTTTCTGCCTTTGGCTTTCGGCAAAGCCGGTTTTTGGGTCCGACGAAACACATGTTGCCTTTGATCTCAGTCACGTAGTCCATGTTTAAAAATATGTTTGTATGGCACGCCAAATTCACAAAAATGAGATAATCATAGTTTCACAATTGATAAACTAGGTTTATCGACTGTAAACTATAGTTTACAAACCGTAAACTATAGTTAACGATTCGTTAAGTATAGTTTTCACCTGTAAAACTATATTTAACGGTTGTTAACTATAGTTTACGAATGTTAATTTAAGTTTATCTGTCTGTAATAAAGCGTTAACATTAGATTTTGTTGATAAACACAGATTCACGTTTGTAAACTATAGTTTACAATCGTAAACTATAGTTAAGAGTTGTTAATCATGGTTTCACAAATTGTGAAACTATATTTATCAGATCGTTAACTATAGTTAACGGTTTGTAAACTATAGTTTACAAATCGTGAAACTGTATTTATCAGATAATCTATGTTTTGCGATCGCAAATGATTGTTTTCGGTGTTAAGTATAGTTTACGGTTGTGAAACATAGATTATCGCGTTAACTTTGGTTTACAGATGTGAAATATAGATTAACGTTGTTAACTATAGTTTACGGTTTGTAAACTATAGTTTACAACCGATAAACCTAGTTTATCGATTGTGAAACTATGATTATCTCATTTTTGTGAATTTGGCGTGCCATATGTTTGTCTTCTTATGACTCAGAGTAAAATTTTTGGATTGACAGGTGAGAAAATTCTTTTCCCGGAAAATTTCAACATTTATATTTGTTGACAGGATAAGGGGAATATAAAAAGAAATCGTGTTCTAGAATGACAAAAAAAGTTTTGAGTTGGGCCATTTTAGTCAATTGGTCGAGAGAGGGCAATCAAATATATATATATTTTTAAAGATTTTCTTAATGATAATAATATTGACCGTAAAATATATATGAAACAACAGTATGATATGCACCTTGTGATTCCAGTTGAATCTGTGGAGCTGTAGAGAAAATGAACGTTGGTTCCATCAAAGATGTAGGAGGTGCTGGTGGCGTCCCCAAGCTGGTATTGAAGCGACTGGTCACCGCTTATCTGGCAGGCCTTTTAAAACAGAAATTATACACTGTGCACAGGCCAAGCTAATTAAAATCAGATGTTAGATCCGCTCGTATACTCGCTACACTAACATCTAACAACATCCCATAGACGGTCACACCAGAGGTCAAATTCGGAACACCTCTAGATTTATTGGCTTCAACAAATATACGATGATTTTTGCAGGCGACGATTTGATTGGTTGATAGAATTTTAACTCTGACATGACCCTCTATGGGATGTCACTCGGAGTTTCTCGGATGACTCGTACCTCGCACATAGTCTCGGAGTCAAAGGAGTTCTACCATATTGCTGATTCAGTCATTATTTTGTGGCACACTCAACAGTTTTTTTCTTGCTTACAAAGCCTACTTAAATGAGGTTGTAATCGAAATCTGTTTACGATAAAGAATTGCATTAATTATGAAACATTTTCGAAGAACGTTATGCAGAGCGAACTATGAAATGAGTGATAAGGCAGTTTCCGGCGGAGAAATGTAAGGATCTGATGCGTAATCCTCCACTAATCACATCCGAGGTTTGAATTGAGCGTAGCGGAGTCAGCCGAGGATTGCCGATTGATGGGATGTTGTTAGATGTTAGTGTAGCGAATATGCTTTTCACTCTTATGGAGACGCCACCACTTGCCGGTGGAGAGATGCAAACTTTATCCTTTACTCAGCATTCAGGTCTATTGAGCAGGAAGGGATCAATTTCGTGCCAGCACCTACTGCGACACGGGACCTCGGTTTATACGGTCTCATCTGAAGGACCGGTCTCCAAGTCCCACAGAGGGATTGGAACCCGCGACGTAAGGATCAACTCCTTACTTCACAACTCTAGAGCAGACGCTCTAACCACTGAGCCACGCGGGCGATTACATAAATTGGAATATTCAAGATTAAGCTAAGCGCAATAATTGGGCATTCAGTTGTTGGCGGCAAATATGAGGTCAGCTTATTTTAACTATTCACGTACATTATTTAGGAAGGGGTTTGTGTATACTGTACGTAAGTTTTGATACTTACTGCGGCATTCATACAGGCGCCTTCAGTGAATGAGTAACATGGATTATATGAGTAAAAATAGCCATCGGAGGCAAAACTGTCAGCAAACCTGAAAGGTAAAATTATACTTGAAAAACAGAATTAAAAGGGGAGAAAAAGAAGGATTTCATAAGGTGTAATACAGAGTAACAACGGCTCAGCAAGCAAAACATCAACTCTGAATAATTTAAGCATATTAAATTTCTAAAAAGCATGTTAGTCGTAGAGCACATTTACCACTTAATTCAAAACAACAGCAAAAAGTTTAAAAAGTAAAACAGATTCAAACAAAAAGATTTCAGGAAATATTGGACGGTTGGATCGTTCCGGAATTTTTTAAGTTTATAACCATTTTCAGGGCCCACAAATGCTTTAGATATCAACCCTTTATCTTCACTCCTCACAAAAATAAGAAAAGTGGTGTAAACAAGACACAGATTACAGGAGGAACTTTAGACGTACTGTGCACAATTTATTCTAGAAGTGGTGTAAACCAGACACACATTACAGTAGGACCTTCAGATCTACTATACTATAGCGTATTCTAGAAGTGATGTAGATCAGACTCAGATTAAATGAGGAATTTCAGAGGTACTATGCTACAGCGTATTCTAGAATGAAATATATGGAGATAACGAACAGTTTTCAAGTTCAAAGGTCCAATAAACAATACAAAATAGGAACAGAGAAAACACGGACCTCCAAAACATCGGAGGTGGGATCAGGTGCCATGGAGGAGTGAGCAATACTTGTCGACCGTTCACATCCACCGAGTACTCCTTGTCAAATGTATCGGGAAATATTGGGAAATTCTGTCGACAATCAGTGTGTAAATAATGGCCTTACAATTAATATGAAAAACGTCAGTCACCATTTGACCCAATGATGAATTTGCTGACAAGGTCGATCATATACCGTATACAGGTGATGAAGGTATATATTGCTGCATAAGTAAGGGAAGATGACGATTGAAAAGTGGACGTCTAAAAGTATATCATAAAGCTTGATTGTTAGATTACATGACCATTTACCATTAACGTCTTTTTCAAGTAAAATACCCGAATATGAAACAGATGTGTCAGACTCTGTGGTATCTTTTATCTCAAGCTCACCAGGATATATCGTAGCGATATAAGAACAGAAATAACCATTGTTAACTGACAATACGTCGTCGACATATATAAATGTCGAGTTGAAGGCCACAGCTAGTGCTTTCTTCTTTTCTTGAATAAGATTTTGGACAAATCTTGCTTCATAAGCAAGTCTGCTTATAACGGGACGCAACTGGTATCCATGGGAATACAATAGATTGTTGAAACCATTAGATATTGTCCATCAGAATTTCAAGCATTTTTTAATGTCAATTTCAGAGTATTTGTATGTATAATCAGAATGTTTTTAACAAAATAATTTTGCAAATTACCAATGACAATGTAAGTTGATTTACGATTTCCTTTTTGTTTTTTAACAAATCGGCAGCTGCCAATGATATCAAAAAGACTGGACTTCAATTTTTTTCGTGGGAAATGGTTGTGTATCAAGTTGCAACTTCTTTGAAATAGAAGGGACGTAGGATATACCAGGGGTGGTCAAAAAGTTCGCGAACTAATTGAAAAACTTCCATAAAAGAAACAATATTTGGTTTCAATGTTGAATATATTTTAAATTAGTCCTCTCCGATTTTAATACACATCTGCCACCGTTCTGCTCATGCGCGAATAACGTGATATATGCGGTCACTTTACCCCTTCCCTCGCGTTCTGTCACAGAAGCTGAAAGATTTTTCTGAGTTTTAAATTTCTTTCCATGCAAGTTAATTTTTATAACAAAAGCAGTCCATTTATATGCAGAAATGGCCAAATCTCGGCAATAGTATGGGTGGATAATGATTATTCTTTTCCAGAATGAGCATGGTGACCATCAAAACCCAAGTCTTCTGTTTTTTGGAGCGTCGTTTATTCAATGTGGATAAAGAATGTGTGCCCTCTTTTTATCGTATCTAATATGTTAAAAGTCTAAAGTAAACAATATTTTAGAGATTTATTAATTAAATTATTGTAAAGATATTCAACCATTTTTCTAGCTGTAACTTTCGCAATCTTGCATTGCTTTAAAAAAAGACACATCTCTCCCTCAGCTTGCTTTCGCTGGGCTACAAAACAAACGTCATTTTTAACCATCTCCCTCCCTTCACTAGAACAATCAATCCAATTTATGATTGAACGTCTGGAAAGTCTATTGTCTTCGTAAACCTTCTACAAATTATTATAAGATACTTCAAAGGAATTTCCAAGTTATACGTTAAACTTTACAGCCGTTCGTTGCTCGAGTAAGATTGTGAAAACCATTTTTCGTCACGAGTCACCTACACATTGACGTCATTTTCACATTGTGACGTCACAATGATGGAGAAAATTATTACTTTTCATATGCTATTTATAGAACATGTGCATTGCTATAAGTGTGCCAAATTTCATTCTGATCTGAAACTTGGTTTTGTAAATGTAGAGATAGTTCGCGAACTTTTTTATCACCCCTCGTATTAATGCGTGGGCAGGTGAGATCCCGCAACATTTAACTAAAGTGACGCAATAATTACCACTATTTATATGGAAAAAATTAAGATAACGATCGATCAAAAAAAATCTACAAACAATACAAGTAACTAAGTCTATAAACAGGATATAAAACAGATACCCCCGAAAATTCCTGAGGTGGGATCAGATATCTATAGGCGTAAACATATCCTGTTGACCGTACACACAGACGAGCCCTACAAGTTGACCAGGAAGACAGTATATTTTTAGAGTCAAGGTTAGTATAAAACTAAAGGCAAAAGAATTAGTATGAAACAGGCCAGCCAAGAATTCGTACACAGAGCATGCTCTACTGAGTGTATTAAATAAGATGGGAGATCATGTAGACAACAACATATGCAATAGAGGTTATGTTAGCACTGAGCTCACTAAATGATACCCCCTCCCATATGATTATATATAATGGCAAATTCATGTTTCGCTATGGAAGAACCAAAATAAGTGTCAGATCTAAAAGTAAAACAGGAGGTGATCATGGCATTATGTAATAAAGAATCTGAAAGATCATTTGAACTTCATTCAGTGGTATAGGAGGAGATGCGGATAAAAGATGGGTGCCCTTCAATATTATAGTAAGAATGGCAGAGTGTCCATGTTTTGCTACGGGAAACCCAAAATATGTGTCTGATTAAAAAGTAAAGAAGGAGGTGCACAATTGCATTATGTAAAAAAGAATCCGTGAAAGTCTCACTAAATTTCGTTCAGTGGTATTGGAAGAGTCGCGGATAAGAGATGAGTATCCTAGAGCGTAACAAAGGGACGGATGCGAGCGGTGATCAAAAAGTTCGCGAATTATCTCTATATCTACAAAACCACAATTCAGGTTAGATTAAAATCGGGTACAAACATAGCACAGGAACTTGTTTCGGTACTATTTTTTTAATCCATAGTAATAAATTAATAATAACACCATTGTGTTATTATTATATACTATGGGTTTAAAATTTATAACCGAAACAAGTGCCTGTGGCACAGTCATAGCCATACACAATTTCTATTAATAGCACATGCTGTATAAAATGTTGCTTTTTGTTTGTGACATCACAATATGAAAATAACGTTACTATGCAGATCACTTGTGACAAAACATTGTTATCTCAGTCGTACTCGTTCAACTTTAAAATTTGTGATATATCTTGGAAATTCTTTTGCAGTAGCGTATAATAATTTGTACACAACTAATGAAGACAGATGACTTCCTAGAAATCCAATCAATGAATAGGTTGATCGTTTCATTGAAGGAAGGGGGATGGTTAAAAATAATAATTGTTCTGTTGCCCAGTGAAAGCAAGTTTGAAAAGAAATGTGTTTCTAGGGCAGTCCCACAGTAGTCTTATAGCGCTCCCAGAGCAGTTCCAAGGTAGTTGGGACTGCTTTCTGGCATGCTTGAGTGTCAGGTTGGATCTGTTTGGTGCTGTTCACCCTCTTACTTTTCAAGCGGGGTATGATAAGGAAAGTTAATGATGAAAAATCTTATGTCATACAAATTAGTTGCTAAATGGCCACATATCGTCAGTTATTCAGTAAAACATCCAAATATGAAACGGTACAAGTTTTATGAATAAATTCTGCTTCATAGCTTCATGTATATAAAAACAGGTCTGCTGAGAAGAAGCATAATTAGTGCTCATCGGAATTCCAACAGTTTATGTGAAGACCTAAATGTAGTATTAGAAAACTACATAATTGTTGTCAATGAAGAACTCTTTATTCCTTTGAAAATCGATTTCAGAGTTCTTGTGTGTAAAATCAGAGTGATTTTTAACAATGTCTCAAGAATCGCATCGTAATTTGACATAGTACATGTACTTTTTCAAAGATCATTGATACAGATTTATGATAAGAGAAAAATTCAGCCAAATATTTCCATTCACTTCTTCTATAAGACAAACTAGACCCAATGTCAACATTTCCTTGATGCCTCTGTTGACCTCTTGACCTCTAATGTACTTGACTACAATCACAATTAAGAAAACACCCCCATCGTCATGAAAAACAGGTAAAGAAGTTCAATCATGTGTATGTATAAATGCTTACAACTAATTTATGACACTTTTTTAAAGTCTGTTATACCAGCATATATTTGTTACACATACATATCACTGTATACAAAGTGCTAATCGAAAGTCTACTTGATTTGGATCACTAGCTATATTTGTTTGCGTCATTCGAAGTTTCTGTCTGCACATTTAGGCAAAAAATGTGCTTTTATATACGTTTTCTTACTGATAATAAAACTACTTCAAACAATATGAGACTTCTTCTTGGTATATTTAAAGATAATCATATTTTTGTTTCATCTACCCCTCCATAAACATCGGTAGCACGCGTTTTTCACGCATCTAATGGTCATTTTTCGACTAATCATCCACTGGAATGGACTGTTGACATTATTTCAATAAAACATTTATCATGTTTATTGTAATGTTTAATATGAATCTTTATCAAACGTAAGCTATCAAATTCGACCACAAGGTCTTCTTTATAGCCTGGCAATTACATCAAATATGCACCTACCCAACTTTTCCAGAGCTATATTATGTTTGCGTAGAAAATATCAAGAAAGCTATCTTTGTTGTCATGACAGCTATACTTTTTTCGAGTATACATATAGTATTTAGGCCTGGTGCAATTATTAAAATAATTTATTGACGTTACTTTGTGTTTCCAACAGTACTGTACAATATTTTCTTCCCAAGACTCCTCTTACATTTCAACAATGGCCCAGTCCATCGGAGGTCCATGTGTCATATGCTCACCTTGAGCATTTTATGCTCAATCGGTGAGTGTGATACATATGTATTTATATAAATTATAGAAAAAGTAGTGTGGCCTCTTGGTAAGTTACTTAGGAGAGTACAAACACACAGGCACCTGACGTTACTTATTTTTCTTTTAATAAAATAAATTATACCCCTACCTTTAACATTTTGAACCTTTCGTGACAGTATCTTTTTTAATTTCTAATGGAAGCAACTGTAATGACGTTTTTATTTCGTTAATTTATATGTTTAGTTTTATTTTTTCATTCCGGAATAAAGGATTGCTCAAGCATAAATTTCTGGATGGTGGACAAGCTACATTCTTCCATATATATTCTCATTTTTCCTATCAACTTATGATAGTCATTCATAAACAAAAACATACCAAATTAAGAATTTTCATGTTGCTCACCAATTTACATGTAATATTGTAAAATTTTAAAGATCGATTTCAACTCTTAGACTTTACATATATACATGGTTTTGTAAATATTTAGTGGTATATATATGCATTCAAAGTTTTGATTTGATAATTTAATGATTAATTAAAACGCATTCAACTTCAAATCTTAATGCCGCTTCGTTCATTTACTAATTTCAATTCAGCCAAATAAGTGTTAAGAAGAGATTGCATGAAATATTTAAAAAAAATTCATGTTATAAAAAGAAAACAAATGGTTACCACATTTCTCAAAGAAATGCATGGATCTTTTTTTCATAGAAATCATACCATATCCCTGAAAATCAGTGAACTTCCGTAACTATATTCTTTTATCGTAGACTGACTGTTAAGAGTTTGCGTTTCTTGGGAAGGAGGGAGGGGGGGTATTTTGATATGGTTACTTTAATATTCTTAAATTTTAGTGAATTTGAAAAAATTATCAGGTTTTGATCCCCTAACCTTTATCCGCTTTTCTGGATCTGTCTATGGGGATATAATGCCAAATTTTAATTAAACTTTTATCTTCATAGATTCTGTTTCAGATTCTTAGTTTTAAGTTCTGATGTCTGATGATAGTGTGAAAATAGGTGAAATATTACATAAGTTGCATTATAATCTCTTTATCATAAATTTATAAAAGAGAGAAAAAAGGTGTACAAGGCGAGGACAATCACCCGCTCTATGACGGAAAAGTTTTATTTTTCTAAAATTATTTTGTAGGTAATGTCATCTTCAACATATTAGATTCATATATTGTTCTGAAAGGCATATTGATTGAAAATTGTTTTTAGACTTATTTAGTCGAAAATGGGTACGTTTATATTAAATGATTCTAGCAATAAAGATTTATTTTTGAATGTGAACGGACCAGGTATTCTAGTAAATGCATTGTGTTTTTTTAATGGCGTCTGAACCCATTCTATCTAAAAGTTGAATATTTCAGAAATGAAAAAAAATGAGGATAATGAGCATTGATTTATGTCAAAAAATATACAAACAATACAAACATGTGGGCAGGGCATAAATACGGACCCCCCCCCCCCCCCGGAATACCAGAGATCCAGAGATTGGAACGTGTGCCTAGAGGAGTAAGCATCCCTTGTTGATCGGTCACAAACGCTGTGAGCCCTATGTACCGGGGGTATTGATTAAGTGAATGGAACATTTCGTAATCAAATTTAGTATAAAAACAAAGGTCTAACAGTTGGGTGAGAGAAGTAAGCCAAAAAAAAAAACGAACCGAGATAAATTAAATGATAGGTTGAAAAACCTTATTTGTCTCAACAAATTCGTTTCTTTTTAAGCAAACTGACACACAGACAACAAGAAGACACCGTAGCATATTGTGGTTAACGCATTCAGTCTTACGCCTATCATGAGCTTTGGAAAAAATTCGATTAGTTTGTGAAGCCCTTTATTCCGTTTTACATACCTTTAAAACATAAGTAAAATTATATTACGTGTATTTATCAATAAGTTATTTAACGACATAAACTTGAGCCAGTGTCTTTGGATTATACTCCCCCTATATACGGCTTCATTCTTCAAGAATTATTCTACTCAAATCAAACATAGCATTTCTGTAAGAATCGTGACAAAACGCAAATCAAGTATCGCACAAACACCAGCAATGATAGCACATTTCATCAAATTCTATATTTATTTATTTCTGTTTAACTTCTTTCGACTGATAAATGTTTCTCTTGGGATAATAAATGCCAATACCTTTTTCAAAACTGTTTAAATCGCAATAATTTTAACAAAAAACAATAAATCTTAATTTCATGCAAATCACAAAAAGGATCCGAAAAAAGTATAGCCATCGCAAAAATATGTTGCAAACATAGTATAGCATTCACTCAAAACAAGAATAGCCCAATTTCTCTAAAAAGTGTAATTTATAGAAATCATATGATGTTTCGTGGGTGAATTGAGGCGAAAACTAAGATACAATAACGTTTACAACAGAATATAGTTTGAAAAAATTAAGAACAATTGAAATAATGCAAAATGAGCGAAAATCCCATTGTAACTTAGTAAATGAGAATGGTATCGAATTTCTAACTTGTTTCAACTTAAAAATTTTCTCAAATAAATTTACATTGATTCTATAAAGGTATAATAAGTTTTGTAATTTCTTAAAGTTACTTTTATTCATATTTTGCCTGCAGAATTTTCTTTTTTACCCATAATGCATCAGAGTACCCAAAGCAATATAGCAAGTGATCCAAATCAAGTAGATTTTCGATTAGCACTTTGTATACAGTGCATATATAGTGTACAAGGTGTATATATCGAATTGATAAAAGTTGAGTATAATTTATATCACATATCATCTTACATATAAATATCATAGGCGGAATAGAGGGCGCGGGCGCCTTAAGTGGTCATACAATACTTACGCAGGGGTTTGGTCTTGATTGCCTAAGGAAGATAAATCTATAAGACTTCCATCATCCATGGAACACGAACACTGATCACGATAAGTACAGGATTGTCCAAAAGTTACAGCAACGAGCGACGATACCAAAATTACACAAATGGGCAGCAGTTTAAAGGATTCCATAACTTTACAGCTTAGACAACACTGTCACTTATTCCTGAAGATAATTAAGATATTAAGTAATTGAACTATGCATCAGATATTCGTAATGTGATAATCATGGGTATACAGCGTCACGTGAATCGTATATATCCATGTCGGAAAAGATTTCGTTATCTGGCGTTTTATCAATTGACCATGAATTTAATTGTAAATATAAATACGATAATCTAAGTGAGTTCCGGGTATATTTACAGTTACTGATGTACTGTTAGTACAATGTACAATACAAGAAAAGCGTTAATTTTTGCTGAGGACAAAGAGAAATATGAAGTACAAATACAGACGCTCCTGTGTGTACCAGACGCGCCTAAATGTAATAGACACAATTATTTATAATAGACGCACTTACATGTACATAATGTAATAGACGCACATACATGTAATAGACGCACATAGAGGTAGAAGGTGAGACTACTGATGAAGGGTCATGGTGGTGTTTTGTATATAAAAAATTGCGATTTTTTGCACGTTCTCTATATAAACTCTTTTTTTTTACGGAGAACCTGCCGCAATTATAGCTCCAACATGGCCGACATGTAAATCAGCACAATGAACATTTCTTCATCAGTTATGCCATTCCGTATATTTATAAATTCTTCAAATATTGACAAACGATATTTCATGTTTTATTAAAGTTAGCATATGATTTATAGAGTCTCATCCAAAGGACCGGTCTCCACGTCCCACAGTGGGATTCGAACCCGCGACGTAAGGATCGACTCCAGAAAGTAGACACTCTAACCACTGCGCCACGCAGGCGACTTGAATGAAAAAGTTACCTGTGCATCGTTAAGTATAGTACTTAGAGACACACAGATGTGGGTCCCCCGACAGAAGCACAATATACACTTGTATACAAGTTCATCTGTTAATTTTTTTTAAAATTGTTGTTTATATCATTCTTTAAATGTGTGTGGGTGGTAGGGGAGGGGGTATATAAAGTTCCTGTCTATCCCTATTATTTTACTTAAGTGTCAGGAAATTGCCCTTTGGGAGCCCTGACACGCTCCGGAAATTAACCAAACTTGCATTGAGGAAAGGGATAAATTAAATTTAATAAAGCAATTAAAAGGGAAAGTTTTGTAGTGTTTTTATTCCTCTATGTATTCAAAGTGTTTACAAGAGAAACGTTTCAATAGAAAACTAAAATAGGGTAAAAGTTTATAAATTGCTCTGTTTTTCAAAACTCTTTTTCCTACAAAGGAGGGAGGGGAGGGAAGGGGTGGAGGTCATGTGAAAAATATCAACGGGTAATATTAACGCTTGTTATTCAATAGCAAACTGTTTGAAAACAACTTCCGAAGAAATATGAAACAAACATATTACAGAATTATTAATCATTTATTTTTCTAAAATACAAATTGAATTGTAAAATAAGAATCTTTAAAGTCCAAGAAAATGATAAATAAAAGTCCATAAGAAGCTTAACCACACATGTACAGTGTATATTTTTTACAAAAACTATAGACTATACAATATTTCCATTTCTTATTTTTGTCTCTGTGATAACCCTTTGAAACTTAGCGGATTTAATTTCTTGATAAATCTGCCGGAATGTAAATTAGGCAGGTCGAAAGGTCAGGTGCTAAGGAGGCCTAATATGCATGCAAATCTCGTGCGCATCTGTCTCTGTGTCTGACGCTAAGGATGCAAAATATGCATGAAAATCTCGTGCGGCTGCCTTTGTATTTGACGTCAGTGGGCGAGGTCTACTGAAAATTGGCAAGGAAGTCCTCGTGTAATTTAAATCTATGTTTACATTTTAAAAATATAAATCTACAATTTTATTTCACAATGAAATAGAAATATAAGGAATCACAATTTAGTTCGCAATACGATTATGTAGGGACATCAAGATAGTGGGAAACATGGGATAATTTATGCATAACGGGCTTCGCCCGTTATGCATAAATTATCCCATGTTTCCCACTATCGTTGATGTCCCTGGCATATTATACGAACTAGACAGTGATTCCTTAATTAGACTCCACAAAAATACAGCACCAACTCCACAAGTATAAAAAGTATAAAAAATAATAATGTTGAATGATTGCACTTGAAAAACAATGAAGCAAGATAATCGTTGAGACAGATAAGATTTTTGATCCTAAATATGTAAAGACAGATTAGGTATTTGTTCCTAGATATAGTCAAACCTTTTTTCTCAAACATAATGAAACTAAGCAAAACAAGATATAATATTCATGGATTCAAAATATTCATGATTATAATATCCATATTTGAGATACTTTAGTTTAACAGTATTTAAAAATATTTATATAATATATTTACACATACAACATCCTTCACTTACAACATCTAGGTAGCTTTGCAGACACAACACAACAATCTGTTGGAATCTTCATGGGCACATATTGTGCTCCTATATTAGCTGCCTTTTTTTATTTTAATGAGAAAGAATTTAATGAAGGAATGTAAGGCTTATTTAGAGTTATTTAAGATGCTAAAACAGAAAAAAATTGCACTAAAATTGTATGGATTGGCAGCTCTTGTTATATATGATTAAATACATTAATTTAATTAAATAATTAATTTAATATACTATATATTAATCATATAATATGATATGGGATTCTTTAACAGCACTTAATACTCTGTAAAAACAATAAAATCAACAATATAGGAAAAATACTATCTGTGGAAAAGCTAATAATCTTAACTGCCCTATTCTATGGCACTTCTTTGTATTTAATACAGGCAGTGATATCACATTTAATATCTTCACAGGTAAAAGGGTATTTAAAAAAACAGATTTTAAAAAATTTTTAAAAAGTAAAAAAAAAAATTACAATATCCCTCCTCATTACACATTTATATTCAAAATGAAAAAAAAGTATTAAATACTTTGGTTTATGAATAATACTTATTTACAACATGATAATATATATCAATAGCATGTAAGGGTAACTTCCAGCACTAGTTCAAAACAGACTAAGGTGTACATAATAAATTTACTTAGTGGAGTGCATTGGTCAAAGGACACTGTATCTGACTAATGCAAGTAACTGAACTTCAGCAGTATTTAAAACCCTGCAATTTCATTCATGATAATAAGTCTCTTACATGCATGCAAAATTAAAATATTTTAAAAAAGTACAATTTTCTTAATTAAATTCATATAAAAACTTAGTGAACTTTCAAACAATTCATACACTCATAATATATACAGGAAAAAAAAAAGGTGGATTTCACACAATTTTTTTTGTAACAAATCAACAAAATGTACTTTTTGTACTTAATGATTCTGCTCATTGCTACACAATATCTTATATTCAAACATTTTCAAACATTTCTTGATCAATCACTTTAAAACATTTACTGCTCTCTTCTTTTTGTCATTGTAATATACATATATTTATCAAGTAAATATAGTGTTTACATTTTCTGAAACAAAATACCTTGACACCTATTAAAAATAATATGCATTGTTGAGGATTTTTTCTGACAATGACATGATATTAAATGACAAATCTTTTGTCTCATAAAACTGTGTAGAGAACAATATAAAACAAAACGGATATAAACTAGGAGACTTTTTGTTCACAGAACAATAAGAGGTCTTTCCACCTTCTTTGAATTTTTCAATTTAGTTTTATATATGACTCCTTAAAATTAAATTCCATGAAATAAATAAATGAATAAGAAACCAAAATTGTCTTAAAGGATAGAAAAAAATGAAAATTAAAAAAAAAGAAATGACCTTGACCTTTGACCTTGAGAAAATATTCAAGGTCAAAGGTCAAGGGTCACAATGCAATTGACGCAATGCTTCTACAACGTATAGTTTTCAAGTTATAAGGTTTTATATTAAGTACAAAGAAGTTAAAGGGAAATAACTCATATAAGGGATCATCAGATCCTTTCGCATTTATACAGTGAAGTTAGGCCTAACGACCCTTAAGACATTAGTGAAGGTTTGGTGTCTCTACGGTCTACAGTTTTGAAGTAGTAGCGATTACAAAGTTTTTCGCACAAGGGGCTATAACTTTCAACAGAGTAAATCTTCGGGGACAAGAATGAATTCTTTGAAATAAATAAAAGAGTACATATGAAAGATGCAAAGACTGATCGTATATGTTAAAAGACAAAAGAGATATAAAAAGAGCTTAATTTCTCATTTTGGAGTGACCTTGACCTTTGACCTTTGCATTAATTTCATGATCAAAGGTCAATAAATCTTATGCAGTTGGTCCCATGTCTCTATCACTTCTCGTTTTGAAAATTTTTAATTATTTGTAAAATTTAAAGACTTTCAGGGGCAATAACTCATTGAAGGAGTCACCAAATACTTTCGCAGTGAATAGATTCCAGAGTCCTCTCAATTAGTCGAAGACTTTAGTGAAGGTTTCATATTTCTATATTATTATATTTCATATTTCTAAGAAAATCAATAGGTCTTTCCACAGAAAGGTGGAAAGACCTAATGACTACCCGGTATGTGCATTATGTGGCCGAATAGACCAAGAGAGCAAACTCTCTCAATAATCTATTGACTAGATATTTTTTTTTAACTAAACAATATCAATGAATCTTATTTTCTATCTATCATAATTTACATTACCAATTTATTAATGCACAATATAGTCCTCAGTCAACCTGCTTTGCTGTAAATTTCAAATCACCTTGAAAATATGTCCCTATTTGATAATAGTTACCCCCAGTTTTCATCGCTCTCTTTTCTCTTTTTTTCAATTTTTCTAAAGAGCATATTTACAAAATTAGCAACTAAATCCCAAATAATACATAGACAACTAAGAAATGAGTAGAACTTTTCTGATATATTTAACTTGAATAATTGAAATATATCTGTTAATTTAGCTTTGAATTTTGCAGCTGAATCATAAAAATATCTAATATTAGATATCAAATAACAAATGCAATTTACAAATAAAATGAGATAAATGCCAGACACTGCATGGCGGCAGATAAATTCAAACACTTCTCTGTGATCTTTCTCCCCAATTAAAATGTACGAAACTAAAGAAGCACAATTCATTTTATCAGGGGAGGTAAGACTGTAGTTAATGAAACCTAATGTCATTACTTCCTCTATTCTTTGATTAATTTTGTCTAACGTTCTATTTGTTGGAATTGCATACCAACTGAGAAGTTCAACTCCCCGACTGAAATTCAAAAAAGTATTGTTAAAATCAGAAAAATTGATTATAGCCTTATCACAAAATATGTTCAGCGGTAAGGTTATAGCTAAATGTAGAACTGTCATGGATTGGTTGTTGGCTTCCAGAGTAAAAATATGGTGAAAATATTGATAAAACCCTCGCTGTCTCCTCACGCGAAGGTGCGATCCAAAGCCCACGTCTTTATTGCGGATCATATCCCGTAGATGGTCAATGTCCTGAATTTGTCGACTGTCCTGTAAAATAATTTGTCAAAATTAGAAGTCAGATTTAATTTGATTTTTTTTAAACAATGAGCATAAATCAAAGTATAATCTAAAAAATATTTTTTTTTTATATTCCATTCATTTCCTTTTTTTAAATAATGAGCATAAATCAAAGTATAATCTAAAAAATATTTTTTTATATTCCATTCATTTTTTTCTTAATACTATAAACCAACTTTTATTCGCATGCTAGAAATTTTCGCGAAGTTCGCAAGAGTCTCGTCATCGCGAATATTTCTCGCCGCAAACCGGTCCTTGAAGTGTATGTGTCTATTAACAACATATTCAAAAAAGCTTTGTCGCGAAAATAAATCGTCGCGAACTAGTTTATCCCTGGTAAATCGCAAAATAAAGTCGTCGCGAATAAAAGTTGGTTTACAGTATTATGAGCATAACTCGGAGTATAATCTAAAAATATTTTTTCTTATATTCCATTCATTTTTTGTAAAATAATGAGCATAAATCAAAGTATAATCTAATTTTTTTTTCATATTCCACTATAAAGCTTATTTTTTAAATTATATTAAATTTTTTAATAATCTGCAATGATCTATGCAGATGTGCAATCAATAAAATTTAGCTGATTTTTTGGGTTACACATAGCAAACATATGTCTATACTGATCATATAAAATCTATTAAGTTTTGCATTTTCTTAATTACGGCCTGACAACATGGTTCTTGAATATCTGGCGATCGTTTCACGAACAGGTCGTAGCTCGTAAACGTAAACTTGAATTTAGCACATGCATTAGTGCATTTCACTAAAAGTTATGATTTGCGATTTGTTTGTGAAACGGTTGCCTGTTTTGGCTCTTTTTTTTTCCTTTCTTTTTTTTTTTTTTGTAATCAATAATAAAATATTTATAATCTTCACTGTTTTTTTAATTTCAAAACTGTCTTGATTAAGTTTGAAAGATATATAAACAAAGAGATAATGACATAAGCAGTTCCAGAGTAGGATTCTACAGGAATTACAATACTCCTGAATCTAGCACAAATGCCTGGTTTTTATGTACCCCAATTTTTGTCAAGGAAACCTTTTTGATCCAGTAGCAATATTTCCAGCACAAATTCTTCCAATTCTTGGGACAAGTTGTATATTTTCGGGGGAATGTGTCAACTGACCTTAATACAGGTGTAGAAATACATCCCGTGTACTTACATGTATCTTTTCCTCCAATAGTATGTCTGTTCGATTTTCAATACTTTCTTCAGAATCAGAGCTGAAGACTTCATTTACATGATTTTCACTACATGCTGTGAAAAAGAAATATTTTTTTCAATAAAACAGAAAACTTTTCAATCAATGATATATATCAGTTCAATACATATCTGCAAATCTACACATATTATTCTTTGATTTCTTTTAACATGTTTAAATTTTAATTTCATGCGTTAAGTAATATAAATAAACACATTTTATCACACTTAATAAATACTAGAATGTTGCGATTGCTAAAATTACACGTTGCTAGCAATTCATTAAGCGCTACAGAGTTAAGGCTAGAAAATATTGTCGAGGCACTAAAATTACTTTTTGCTAAAATTATATACAGATTTTTATAGTCGAATTAATTACTAAATTTGTATCAATCGCATCATCATAACCATTTCGGGTCTTTCCGCCAGAGAAACAACCTCGAGTGTACAGTAAAACTCATTTAGTACAAGCATGAATATTGATAACTCATGGATACAACAAAGTTATCTTGGATTTCCAGTTGTATAAATTTAACGAATTCCTTATACAGATATAACAAATTCCAGATATAGCGAAGTAATTTTGCAGTTGCCAGTGACTTCATTATAACCGAGTTTTACTGTATTAACATCACATGATGTTCAAAATGTATACAACTTCCTATTATAAAGATGTAGAATAGACAGAGTTAAAAGTCCCTTCTGTGGTATATTTTAGGTAATATCTTTACATTCAATTAAGTTAAACTCTATACTCCACAGATATGAGGGTCCTCCCACATTATTCCAAAATTTGTGAAAAAAGAGGCTTAATTGTCATGACGTCTATGTAATACATTTGAGGCTGTTTTTCTGCTAGTCTGAAAGGCCGAGAAGTTGCAATTGAATTTACTACATCTGGCTAAAATAACTTTTGAGTAACTATGTAATACAGTTTATCTCACCTTCTCCTTCTAATTCAATATGAAGATCTTCCAGCCTTCCTAAATTCTCCACTATAGGTCTGCCTGAGGTCAAATCTTAAAAGAAAAAAAAATTTGTTTCTTTTTTTTAAACCGATATATCCAGCTGTAGATAATGAACTCTGTCATAACATTTCCAACCCTTATACAATTATTGCTTATTTAAATTTAAAATGTGTGTATTTAAATTTTTGGTGCTACTATATTAATCATTGTTTTCTTTTCTCCTTAGAAAATCCAGTCATTCAGGAGCATTTTTCTTCTCTTACTTTTTGAAACATGCAAAAGCAACTATATGCAATGAAAATAAATTGAAAACAATTTCCTACTAACCTTTTGTAAAATCACATTTTTCGTGGGGTCTATTTTTTAGGTTTAAGAAATATTGATTAGTGGGGATTTTATTTCATGGTTGGAGGAGTGATGAGTAGTAATATATATAAAATTTTACATTGGGAGGTGTTCTTAAGTTCATGAACTCCATGAAATTAAACCCCCATGATATTGGCGATTTCACAGAATATTTTACATTACACATGTATTTCGCATATAAAGTATGTTGATATCTATGGTATCAAAAACACTATAACATGGAAAGGGGGTTAAAAGCTGTTACATTAGCTCTTCCATTGGCAGTACCTTACACAATGGATAATACATGGATTCTAGAATATTAATCACTTTGTCAGTAAATTTAAGGCAGAGAATTTTTAAAATGTATATATAAGTAATGAATCTTTATTTTGGAAAGCTATAGTCTCATAATTGCAACAATGTATGCAAACAAACGTACATTACTCAATTTATTTGCACACAGCATTGCAATTACTGTATTTGACTGCATATCTTTCAAAAAATAAATATTCATCACTTTATAAATAAAAACATACCTCTTTCATTTCCAATAAGCCTGCTCTCTGTCTGTTTTAATTCCAGTTGATAAATACTGTTCCTTATCCTCTTCTTTTGATGTTGATCTTCAAAATCTATTTTAAAAAAATAAATAAATTATACTAAAGAAAGTCTAGACTAAAGAGGCATGATCTTGTGACAAAATATAAAGCATGATTTTTTTTATATTCATGTAGCACAATATAACTTACAGAACTGCACATATGATTATATAAAAATGCTTGGCCAGAAAATATATTACATGTAGTGATGTACGTATGATAAAAACAAATAATTTTATCATTACCTTTCTCCTCTTCATGTATTTTAACGACGTTGAAACCTGAAAATGTAAAGATAATTTTAATTCGTTGAACTTACATTTCTGGCGTACCGTATAATCCCTATTAAGAGCCCCTGCCCCTATAAGCGCCCCCTTAGGTCTTTCTTAATTGTCAGGAAAGAAGGGCCCCCCTGTAGAATGATTAAAATCAACAAGAATCGTATCAAATAATTAAAGAAAGTGAAAATGAAACTTATCTATTGTACAATTTCTCAGTGGAAAATGAATAATTTAGCATAATTTGTGTGGATTATCTTTACTTTAAGTAAAGTTAGACATTATTTTAGTGGTTCCTTGTATTTTTTCAAAAGATTTTTTGAAGTTAAAATATGACATTAAATATCATAAATACAAAAATACCCGCCCCTTTTTTTGCAATTTTCTAAGCGCCCGGGGCGGTTAATAGGGATTATACAGTATCTTTTTTTAATTCCCATCCAATTATTACTTCAAACGGAAACTTATCACTAAATACCGCAAATCAACTATTATTCATCTTTTCTTTTTTTTTTTTTTTTTTTTTTGCAATTTATCAGTTTGAAATCAACCTTTACAATAAATTTTCACAACTGAGGAAACATTCTCTACAACTACAAAGCAAAATAATAGGTTCGCAATGATTAATAATCTTGAGATAATGTAGGGCACCAAACTCGTGGAGATTTTTCGCACAAGAATAAAAGTTGGTTTACAGCAATCTGTTAATGTCAAATTTAACTACGTCGGACTACCGTATAAGTAGGATATTTAGCAAGGATTTAATTTTAGCATTATTACCGAGTGTGTTGAGATCGTTAAAATTTAATATCGCTAAAAATTAATTGCGTTTTATTTGTAATAGCTTAATTCTTAAGTGAACATTTTAAAATCGCTAAATTTGTATCTCGCTAAAAATAAACATAGGTAATCAGAGATTACAGAGCTCACCTCAACGAATGTTGTCTTTAAGTAAGGGAAAATCACACATCCATGCAAGTTTGGTCAACATAGGGCTTATAGTTACTCGGAAATAAGACCTACACCAAAAACTGCACCAAAAATGTTAACTTGCACCCAAAACATTAATCTGGTCATTCCTTCGCTGAAATTGCAGCATCTGAAACTTTGACTGGTACAATGAAACACACTAGAACCATCTTCCATGCATGTCTAATCAATATAGGGCATAGAAGTACTTAAAAAGAAAACGGCTCCAAAAAACTTAACCTGGGACACCGACGCCGAGGGTATTACATAAGCTCCCCCAACTTCGTTGAGGTCAGCTAAAAACCAATTTTCAAGTACAAATCGCTAAATTTGCGTCTCGCTAAAATTTCCTCTTATACGATATATCTTAGTACCTGAAAACTGACCTACCCAGTTGATCATTCAATGAACTTGATTATAAGTTAAGAAGTACTAGTTTGCACTATCAACTAATCCAGATATTTAGATTTTTTACTTATAAATGTTTATAAATGGAAAAATTTCATGAGATCTTATATTAGTGATAAAGTAACATTGTATTTATTGTGATTTCTAGTTGTTGTTTTTTTTTTTTTTTGGCTATATTTTATCTTTCATTACACTCCATTTGTCAGAAGTTAGCAAAAATGGAAGTTTGAGAGCAGATTGCTTTGCACATTTATGTAAAAATAAAGTTCTTGTGAATAAAAAGTATTGTGGAATATCACTTCAATTTGTGGGGGTCAGTTTGAGGGCAAGCAAACTTTTTATGGTTCCTGGGGTCGTTGTTTCATGGGTAACTCCTACATACAGAAGATTATGTAAGGAAATATGTTGTTTGAGGGGAAATAAATTTGTTGAAAGGGGTGAACCCATGAAATCCATGATCACTGCCCCCCCCCCCAATGACGATTCCACAGCAATTAATAGATTTTAGTAGAGTTTCCTCACCTCTACAGATGTTATCGACATTATCCTCAGTTGAGGGGTCTATTTTTTCTGTCAATTCAGTATCCTTCACTGGGGGGTCTGGCAATTCCTCATCTGGAAGGCATGTACTACTGTGAGGGATGTTTCTCTTCTCCATTTGGGGGTGTAATATTTCGACCTTCTCTCCTTCAGGGATGAGTTTACTCTCAGACATTTTATGAGTACTCTCCTCCTCCATTAGAGGGTCTTTTATTTCAGGCATTTCCTCTTCAGGGATGACTTTACTTTCAGACATTTTGTAGTTTGTAGTTTCCACCTCCATTAGAGGGTCTTTTATTTCAGGCATTTCCTCTTCAGGGATGACTTTACTTTCAGACATTTTGTAGTTTGTAGTTTCCTCCTCCATTAGAGGGTCTTTTATTTCAGGCATTTCCTCTTCAGGGATGACTTTACTTTCAGACATTTTGTAGTTTGTAGTTTCCACCTCCATTAGAGGGTCTTTTATTTCAGGCATTTCCTCTTCAGGGATGACTTTACTTTCAGACATTTTGTAGTTTGTAGTTTCCACCTCCATTAGACGGTCTTTTATTTCAGGCATTTCCTCTTCAGGGATGACTTTACTTTCAGACATTTTGTAGTTTGTAGTTTCCACCTCCATTAGAGGGTCTTTTATTTCAGGCATTTCCTCTTCAGGGATGACTTTACTTTCAGACATTTTGTTTGTAGTTTCCTCCTCCATGGGAGGGTCTTTTATTTTAGGCAGTTCCCCTTCAGGTATGAGCTTGCTTCCTCCAGACTTTTGTATACTAGCTTTGTCCTTTTCACAAATATCCATGCCACGTCTACCTGTAAATTTTGATACAGAAACATTGTACCATGCTAATAAATATATCACTGACCCTGGGGCCACTTATTT